TTTCTCTTCCATTCATCCCTATCAGACATGTAGTGTAAACTAAATATACTACCTATTGTCAACTCGTTACATAGTTTAATTGACAAACTAGCTGAAAGTTCATTGAAAAGGTGCAAACACTAAGAACAAAAGAAATATTGTCCTAAGCTACTGTAAGTACCTACGTACAGTGAAGTATGAAAGTAGAAGTAAGAAAAGCGAAGTATACATTGAGACTACATACATGATGACAATATAACATTTTTCCAGATTTATATCGAATAAAATATTTTTATGTTAATAATAAAATATTCACCACGTCATTCTTAATATTCATCTACTATTTTAAGTTACAAGTTCTAGAAAGAGTACACAATGATTTTATTTCAAAATACACTACACTATACACATCGATGCAATTCCCTGCACATCCAATACCAGGATTTCATAAAATATCAGACGTCTGCGATGAATTTTCCGATAACATACAATTATAATATTTTTATGCAGCTGAACTGATAGCAGCGCTTATTGACAGAACAGCTACGAAACAAAGCATATTGAAAGTAAAAGTTTGTATATGTACTACTACGTAGTGTAAACTAAATATGTATTATGAACATTTCATATAATATATAAATAACGCGTATTGCCTCTTTATTTTTTATTATTAGATCATCGATGCATTTCCGTGAAAGTTTTACACCAGGACCTCATAAATTAATAGAGATATAAATTTTGCTGTGTACAACTACTTTTTAAAATCTAATAAAAAGTTTTCGGAAAAGTTTGTATTTATTTGACGAATTATCAATACTTAGTATAGATGATGATTACAGTTATTACATATGTAACGTAGGTTTAACATGTAAGTATTTAAAGACTATTCTTTAAACAAAGCACAAAATTAATGAAATTATATCCCGTGACACATACAAAAAGTTTAGTTATACTTTCGTTTCATAATAAAATAATACTAATAATGCAGGACAATTCACACGGCGCTATTTAGTTCCAAGTTAAGCAGAGCCTATGTTCTAAGGTACGATACACTACAGTTTTTTTCAATAATGTAATACTTAATAAAGATTTTAAATTGTATCACTATTTTTGATTTCGAATGCCGCCTTACTTTTTACAATTATTATTATTCTATTCATACTTCCAATCGTCGCGGATTCGTTTCTTCCCACTACAAAAACAAGTGGATATTGTAAGTAAATATAAATTGAGACAGCAGTTTTATGACATAATTAATTTCCAACCACAAAATGAGTGAAGAAAGTCTTTTTAACTTAAGAATAATAATATTATTAAATTCTAAAGTCAAAGTTCAATGACACATTAACATAACATTTATCGATATTTTTTATGCGTAGTTGAATTGTAAACTAGCTACCTAGCTGAAAGTCTATGGAAAAGGAAACAAACACTACAATGAGCCGTTTTTCAACAATCTTGCAGGGAAATAGATTTAAAAATCTTTATATTATATTTTGTTCATTTTGAACTGTGATGTACACTGTTACTTCCCGCCGTTTTACTTTTTTTTAATCAATCAATAAATCTTTTTTTTCAATCAATCGCCTACTGTGTGGCATCGCGCGGCGCGGGCGGTCAGTTCGAAATGTGAAAAAAAATAATGCGGTTATGAAATATAACTTCACAATTAGCATTTATAAGCCACGCGTGTTTTATAAACTTTTATAAAACAAAAACTGGTGATATTAGATGGAAACTAAGGTATATAACTGCATGACCAGGTTTTAATAGGAGACAGCACATAACAATGGAGTAGTGGGAGATCTTAGTTTTTAAGTTGATCAATGTATATCATCTATTCAGAAAACATAGAAACTGGCCCGAGTTGTCAAATATCAGACCCAATCTATTAGAGAAATAACTAGTTTTAACTATGATGTACACTGTTACTTCCCGCCGTTTTACTTTTTTTAATAAGCGCGCTGCCTACTGGATGGAATCACTCGGCGGACAGTTCGAAATGCGATAAAAAAATGCGATTATGGAATATAACTTTTGCATTTATATTTTATTTATGAAATGTATGTTTATCCATAATTGTATAATAAATGAGTGTCTAGTTTGCCTCCTACCTTCTCTCTATATGTAAATACTCTCTGTTAACACTAGGTTGTCTGTAAGAGATTTCTGATAGCGATAAGTCCGCCTGTAAGCGACGCGTTCTGTGCCTTAAAAAACAAAATAATTAAAATGATGTTTGTCTATGTTATTGTCTCTGCGTGCGGTGTCGTAGTCGTTTTCAAAAAAACTTATAACCGGCGCAACAGACGCCACGCAGTCTGCACCTAGATGCGATCGACACCGCACGTCATATCTCTAATTAACATTATAAAATTTATGTGTCGAAAATAAATCCAATTGTCTTAAAAGTCTTCGTTTGCCATCACCGTGACCTACCATATTTTATACCATACATTTGGTCATTCGGCCGGATTTATGTACCGCACACCACCAGCGCACAAAATGGTAGGCACCCGAAGTACTGCACGCAATAAGGACTGCATGCAGACGGAGCAGCATCCTGGTTCTGAACAGTATCAAGATACGCCACGGCCGAGTAATATGAAGCCTACAGAAGAGAAGACGGTGACCGTTATGAGCACAAATTCAAAAGCGGGTACTTGTAAAGAAGAATGCCAACCGTCGACGCCCGTTACAACGAAGCGTGCAAAGTCCACGAAGTCTTCGTATTCATCTGTACTGGCACGTAAAAAGCAGTTAGAACTCGATGCTGCACAGAAGAAAGCTAAAATTCAAATGGAATTAATTGACAAACAATTGGAAGCAGACCTAGCTGATTTAGAAGCAGAATACAGTCCAGACCTAGAGGATAATCGCACCAACATTAATAGTAATGTGGAGAGGTGGGTCGAACACAGCCAGCAAGAATTGGAAAACACACAGTTTGCCCACGATCATGGTTTTCAACAGGGTGACACGTGTCCGCCAGCAATAGATTCTGGCACTAATGGTACTACAGTTCAGATGCTAGCAAGCGCTCTAAAGAACATGGCCGCCGCCTCTGCGAATAGCAACTCGAATGCTAAATTATTGTCTCGATTGAGCACGCCGAAGGATTTGCCATACTACTCAGGGGACCCCATGGAATGGCTGCAATTTAAACAGGCCTATGAAGAATCGACTGAAGTCTGCAACTTCAATCCGAAGGAAAATTTATGGCGTTTACGGAAATGTCTACGTGGAGCCGCAAAGGAAGCGGTATCAGCTTTACTCATCAGCGCCGTAACTCCTGATAAATTAATGGCGACACTGGAACTAAGGTTCGGTAATCCAGATATAATTATATCACGCTTGATACAAGAATTAAAAAAGTTACATCCAGTGTCACAAGAATATCAAAAGGACATAGTGTACTTTGCTGTGAAAGTGCAGAATTTCGTGGAAGCAACACGAGCCGTCGGCCGCCAGGAATATTTACAAGGTATAGATGCATTTACATTATTATTATCTAAGATGCCAACTGTTCTTGTATCTAAGTGGTCAGATTATAGTTACACACTGTTACTAGAAAGAAAGAAATCTAGATTAGAATTATTATCCGAATTTCTAACTCAAGAAGCAGTAAAGATTTCCACAACATCTAACTTATGCTTAATAAATGCACGCAGCGATAAATATAAAAATTATGATAATAATATAAGTAGCAGATCACATTCTGTTTTAGTACTGAATGATAAGTGTCAATACTGTCGTGTTTCAAGACACGATTTAACAAAATGTACGCAGTTTAAAAAAGCGCTAAGAAAAGATAGATGGCGATACATTAAGCGTAACAATCTTTGTTACAAGTGTTTACTGTCAAGTCATGAGCGCGAAACATGTCCGGCGCCCGCCTGCGATAAAGATGGCTGCGGCGGAGCGCACCACCGGCTTCTGCACTACCCCGTACCCACCGGGTGCAGGACTAGCAACGTCACCGCCGAACAAGTGAACGAATGTCCACCCGTGAGTGAAACTGTGACCCATATTAACGTAAATAATCAACAAGTGTTATTAAAAGTAGTGCCGGTAAAAATTCGTGGACCATACGGTGTTATTAATACCACCGCCTTACTTGATGACGGTTCAACTGTGTCGCTCATAGCTACCGATCTCGCTAACCGCGCGGGACTGAGCGGCCCCAGCGACACATTACGTATGTGTGGTGCATGGAATAATTCTGTAAATTTATGTAACACTACTGTTGTAACCTTTGATATTTTCTCTGTAAATTCATATGATAATAATGATGTGTATACTGTAAAAGCTCGTACCATAAATAATTTAGATTTGCCTATACAAGATTTATCTACTGTTAATTACAACTTGTATAAAAATTTGCGTAAAATTAAAAATGAATTGTGTATAAAAAAATTGAAACCTGAAATACTATTAGGGCAGGATAATTATCATTTGTTAATTCCTTTGCAAACTAGTTTAGGTAATAAGAATGAACCCGTCGCTACACGCACTCCCTTAGGTTGGTGTATACATGGTTGTTTAGGTATACCGGAACATAAACAATCGTCCCACTCGACCCTCCTTATCTCTGAGTTACACAGCTTACCAGTCGACGAGAGCGAGCGCATGTTACGAGACATCCATGACGAGGTGCGACGGTCATTCACCATCGAGTCCATGGGAGTGTCAGGTAAGCCACGGGAGAATGCTGATGATATCCGTGCCCTGACAGTGATGGAGCAAACTGCTACACTCATCAACGGCAGGTGGGAGGTTGGGCTACCATGGAAAGATGAAAGCTGCAGGATGCCAAATAGCTTCCCTAACGCTGTACGCAGATTAAAAGGTATAGAAAAGAAAATTATGTTAAATACGGAATATGGTAACAGGTATGTCGAACGTGTTAATCATTTATTACAAAATGATTATGCCAGAGAGTTGGAAGATTGCAGTGTCTCGCCACGGACATGGTACTTACCACATTTTGGGGTAGACAACCCAAATAAAAAAAACTACGTCTGGTCTTCGATGCCGCAGCTAGCACAAATGGTTTGTCATTAAATGACTATCTACTGAAGGGGCCGGACCTACTTACATCTCTGTTCGGCATTATGGTAAGATTTAGGGAGAACAGAGTAGCGGTGACCGGCGATATAAAAGATATGTTTTTAAGGATAAAGGTAAGAGAAGAAGACCAGAACGCACTCAGATTTCTGTGGAGAAGCAGTCCTGCAGAACATGAAAAAACGTACGTGATGACGTCATTAATATTTGGCGCGAAATGTTCACCGTTCATAGCTCAATTTATTAAGAATAAAAACGCACTAAGGTATGAGTCATCGATGCCAAACGCCGTAGCAGCGATATGTAATCAACATTATATGGATGACTACATAGACAGTTTGCCAGACGAGGCCGCCGCCATAACAATGGTACGTAATATTAGTAAAATTCACAAATCAGGTGGTTTTCATATTTGTAATTGGACTAGCAACAGTCCAGCCGTATTGGATAGTATTCCAAAGGAGTCCTTAGGTACTACGGCCGTAAAGTTCAAAATAGATCAAGAATGCGAAGGTGAACGTACGCTCGGATTGATATGGTACCCGCGCGAAGACGAGTTGGGGTTCGATGTGTCTCTCAAGCGCATACCACATGACATAATTAATGGTAAGAATAGACCAACAAAAAGAGTTATGCTCAGAGTCATAATGTCAATATTCGATGTATTTGGATTCTTATCGCCATTTTCTATACAAGGTAAAATAATGTTGCAAGATACCTGGCGCGCTGGAATCAGCTGGGACGACTTAGTAACAGATGACATACATAAAAAATGGTGTCAGTGGGTCAATGTACTAACGAGTGAAATAAAAAATATCCGTCTGCCGAGGTGGTATCAAGCAGCGACGAGTGGGAGCGAGTCAGCGATAAAACGTAGCACATCAGTTCAGGTAAACATAACCTCTCTCACCTCTCTTACATCTACAAGCGTAACCGAACGGGCTATCGGCTACGAAACTGGCGTAGCTAATAGCTGCGCTACGACATCCCGCTGCAATGACGTAGTGACAGGCGCTACGAAACAGGTTTTGGCTGGAAGTGAATATAGTAATTTAGAGTTACACTTGTGTTGCGATGCGTCGACTAAAGCAATGTGCGCAGTCGCATACTGGCGATGGTACGTAAATAAAGATATATGTATGTCATTCATAGCTAGCAAGTGCCGTGTCGCGCCCGTGAGTCATACTACCGTGCCGCGTTTGGAATTGCAAGCTGCTTTATTGGCTGCGAGGTTGGCAGATACAATAATCAGAGAACACAAAATAAATCCAGTAAGGCGTTATTTTTGGTGCGACTCTAGTACCGTGCTACACTGGATATGTAATAATACACGTAGCTATAAAACGTACATAGCAAACCGGCTGGGTGAAATAGACGAGCTAAGCCGCCCTGAGGAGTGGCGGTATGTACCTACAAAATTAAATGTTGCTGATCTCGCTACGAGAGAAAATTACGACTATTCTCTTTTTAAAAATGAATGGTTTAGAGGTCCGTCATTCTTATACAGCGATGAGTCATCGTGGCCGGTGAATATAATCGATAAGATAAATGAAATGAGTTTAGAACGAGTAATGATAATACAACATGAAGATTGTAACTTACCTGTACCTGACCCAGGAAGATTTTCATGCTGGTTACGACTGGTGAGGGCTACGGCATGTATTCTAAAATTTATATACAAGTGTAGAAAGCAGATTGAGACTGTTTGCACAGTCATGAAGAGGGCTGAGCGATTGCTGCTAAAATATACACAAGAACAGTCATTCGGTGATGAAATAGCTGCAATTAAAAATGGTAACTGTTTGTCAAAAGGTAGTAAGTTACTTACGTTATCTCCATTTCTGGATGAGTACGGGATTCTCCGTGTCGGCGGCCGCAGATGCTGCACCGGATGTTGAACCTGAAATGAAGAGACCTATCATCTTGGACGGGCGTAGTCAGGTATCTCAATTAATTGTTAGATACAACCATGTGAAGACAGCCCACGGGAACCAGGAAACCGTTGTAAACAACCTGAAACAGAAATATTGGATTATTAGAATACGTCCAACCGTAAAACATGTAGCATATAAATGTATGTTTTGTAGAATAAAAAGAGCAAAACCACAGGTACCGAGAATGGGAGAGCTGCCTGAAGCACGACTGGCTCATCATCAGCGTCCTTTCACACACTGTGGTCTGGATTTGTTTGGACCCATGGAGGTCACTGTGGGGAGACATAGAGAGAAAAGGTATGGAGTTTTATTTACTTGTTTGACCGTCCGTGGAATCCACTTAGAACTGGTATCATCACTTACCTCTGACTCCCTCATTATGGCTCTTCGTCGAATGGCAGCAAGACGCGGTTGGCCTCGTATGCTGTACTCTGATAATGGTACAAACTTGAGAGGCGCTGATGCTGAGCTGAAGAAGTCTATAAATGAGGTAGATTTTGATAGGCTAACAAATGAAGCAGCTAATAATGGAGTGGAATGGACCTTCATCCCGCCTGCCAGTCCCCACTGGGGTGGGGCATGGGAGCGACTTATTAGGAGTGTCAAGACTTCACTTAGGGTAATTTTAAAAGAACGTGCACCACGTGAAGAAGTACTCAACACGCTCCTGACGGAAGTTGAGAATATTGTCAACAGTCGACCCTTGTCACATGTATCGGTAGAAGTAGGTAGTAGTGAGTCTCTAACTCCTAATCATTTTATGTTGGGTTCGTCATCAAATTTGCCAACTGTTGGTGTATTTAATGACTCTGATTTGTACCTACGTAAACGGTGGCGTAAGGCGCAGAGGCTCGCTGACATGTTTTGGAAGCGGTGGGTCAGAGAAGTGCTTCCTGACCTAATACCTAGGCGTAAATGGCAGTACGACCAGACACCGATACAGGTAGGTGATTTTGTACTTATTGTCGATCCTGATGCACCTCGTAATTTCTGGCTGAAAGCTGTGGTTCAGCAGGTGTTTCCAGGAAGGGATGGTCGAGTTAGGGTCGTAGAATTGAAAACTAAGACTGGCATTTTGAAACGGCCGGTGACGCGTGTCGTTCGTATTTCGATGGATAATGAGTGCTGAGCCAGGCTCAACACTGGGGTGGGGTGTGTAAGCGACGCGTTCTGTGCCTTAAAAAACAAAATAATTAAAATGATGTTTGTCTATGTTATTGTCTCTGCGTGCGGTGTCGTAGTCGTTTTCAAAAAAACTTATAACCGGCGCAACAGACGCCACGCAGTCTGCACCTAGATGCGATCGACACCGCACGTCATATCTCTAATTAACATTATAAAATTTATGTGTCGAAAATAAATCCAATTGTCTTAAAAGTCTTCGTTTGCCATCACCGTGACCTACCATATTTTATACCATACACCGCCTTTTGTGAAACATTTATTCCCATTGTTTTCTACTTATTGTTCTGTGTTTATGTGTGCACAATAAAGAGTTAGTATTGTTATAATAATCCACGCGTGTTTATAAACTTTTATATATCAAAAACTGATGATATTAGATCCACTTTACGAGTGTGTTGAAAATAATATAACTTAATAAGATGTGTTATGACTTAACCATTCAAGTAAGGACTACGTAAAATCTTCACAAAATGCAGAACATGAAATTGACTACGCCATCAACGCTGTATACCGAGGAGTTTCCGGGAGGCTCTATTTAGGTGATAAAATGCATACGGTCCATCTGATGTAAAACGATTCCCGTAGCCTATGGGCGCCTGAAACACCAAGGGTGTCATGTGCGCGTTGCCAACCTTGGAAACTAAGGTATACAGGTATACCCGTACAATGACCAGGTTTCAATAGGAGACATCACATAATAATGAGGTAGTGGGAGATCTTAGGTTATAAGTTGATCGACATATATCATCCGATATCATATATTCAGGAAACATAGAAACCAGCTCGTTTTATCATTATATCAGACGAAATCTATTAGAGAAATAACTTTAAAGATGTAAAATTTTATTTTCCAGTAAACAAGCGTTACAATGTTGATGACGATGATGAACAATTATTTTTCTTTTCCTGTATTGAGATTACAAATTGTAAATAATATAATACAATAAAATCTACAATTTCATTTTGGCATTTTTAGTTCAACTGTTAAAACAACCCCTAAATATACTTAAATATAATGAACGTAAATTGAGAATGCCTTCTTTTTTAATTTAAATTTAATGTAAAATTTACCTAAAGCTGCGCCTATGCAATTTTATGATCGTCTTGTACCAGGAATGTATGAAATAACAAAGTTATACACTTTGCCACACCACACTTTGCATTGCGGCGACACGATACTACCTACTACTAACGATATTTAATATATCTAGTAAAATGCAAATAATGAGTTGAACACAAAAATAGAACGGAAAGTGAAACTTTAAATACCTATGCAATTTGAATCTGAATACATTAAAGATAATACATTTTTATATATCTTAAATGACACAAAAGTTGTGAATTGAAATAACGAGTACATGGAAAATAAAGAATTCTTATATAGTTATTAATCAAAGCTTTCTTAAAATTTTAATGCGCAGCTTGCTTTTTAACTTAATCTGAGAGGCAGATATCAAATTCATACACATCATAGTTTTAGCTTGCATAATATGCTTTAAAAATGCATCCAATTGTTGAAGTATTAAGTGTAATTGGCATTTTTATAGATGCATACTTACAGTGTGACATACTCGTAGTTGTTTTTATTCACAAATTATGAAGAACGTAGAAATTAACTTCCAACTAAACTCAGAAATCTTATTATTATTACACACCTATTATTACATGCCTGAAAATTGACTTAAGTGTCTTATAATCTCCACACAAACGACTAGAGAACGTGTCCTTTTTAAAACTGTAAATCTCAAATTAAATTAAGAATTGGACGAACTGACTTTCCGATGCAATTCCTTTAAACTCGGAAACCAGGGTTTCATCAATCAACAGAGATGTCTGCTGCATATTCACGTCATAGCAATATATACAAATATTTTATAATACGTATTTATTGATTATCAGACAAGGAAGGAAGCTCAACAGACAGCTTTCCGAAAGTGAATTTATAGATATGTAGATATCCTGGTACAAAGTACAAATCGCAATAGTAGGTACCTACAGTATTATGAACATGATCTTGACGAACGTAACTGGAGGAAGTCGATGTTATCCACTCCGAGAACATTCCAACTTGCCACATGTCTTCAAATACCAGATGTCTACAAACAATATCCAGCTCCTAATAATAGGACTTACTTAATCAAATAAGGCATTGGTTTAGAAAAGTACAATAAGTTACCTGTGCGTGTTGCTAAGTCGAGTACAAATGAATTTAGATTAAAATGAAACCTTATGTTATAAATTATGAAATATTTACTTTTGTAATATTATTTAAACCTAAAAATGTACTCAAAGATTGATTATTTTGAATTCATTTTTATTACATGTAAATAAATTGGCGTCCAAGATTAAAATAACAACCCTATATACTACAGGATATAATTTAGATGGCTAGATAGACCAGTCATGAAAAAATTATCCCTGTTATATACCAGCAGGCGCATTTCAAATACAAAATAATCAAAGCATAACATTTAGTACCATATGTTAAATACCGTACGAATGAAGAAATTTTGTTATAACCTACATAACGAAATGATATATACAACAATAACTACTATCCTTGGGTACTTTAGTTTACTCTCTTATGGAATATTACTATGGGGAAAAGCGGCAGATATTAAAAATATATTCATATTACAAAAACGTGCCGTTCGAGCGATCTACTGTATGAAGAGTCGTGACTCATTAAGAGAGAAATTCAAAGAGGCAAATATTCTCACCGTTGCTTCTCAATTTATATATTCAAATATCTTATATGTTTATAAAAATCTTGACTTATTTCCAAAAAACAGCAATATTCATAATATTAATACAAGATTTAAAGACAAACTTGCTGTCCCCAAGTATCGTTTAGAAAAAGTTAATAGGTCTTTTATGGGAATAGGTATAAAAATTTACAATAAGATACCAAAGGATATGTTGGAATTACCCTTAAATAAATTCAAAACATCTGTTAAATCATATTTACTGAGCAAAGCCTATTACTCACTAAACGATTACTTGAATGATGAGTGTGCATGGCAATAGTTGTTCATGCACTGAATTTTCATTTAATGTTAGACATAGACACCTATATAAATATACATTGTAAATAAACTGGCTTTAAAAAAAAAAAAAAGTAATTCAATTGAGTTTCTTGCCAGTTCTTCTCAATTGGATCTATATACCGAACTGGACGGTAGGGAAAAAAATAAAATTATAATGTAAAAATTTGACGTTCATAAGCGGCTAAAATGTCCTACATGAATAAATGATTTTTGAATTTGAATTTGAATTTACTACAAAACATTTAATATCAACGAACTTTCCCAATAAAATTTACCAAACGGGACAATTTTGCCGGATTTAGATTATTATTTAGAACTAACTACAGATATGACGTACTTACAAATAAAACAAACATTTTCCACGCATGTTACTTGTATCATAAAATTTGTGTAAAATTAACATACAATTAAAATGTAGTCTTATCCTGCGAGGTAATCTTAAAAAAACGTGACATCTAAAGTAAAACCTGTATTTTATTGTAGTAATTCATACAAGAAGAGAAAAATGACATTAAAAGTTAGACAGCAATAACCGTTCTATACGCAGCTGCACCGATGCATTTCTGTGATCGTCTAGTACTAGAATTTCATACACAAATAGAAGTGTACTGTATCAGCTGTTCTACTTAGATGCATTAAAAAATTGCATCGAATTGATATTACCTATAATGAAGATATAAATGAAAGCACATGTGTGAGATAGTTGTTTCAAAGTTACAAATCATGAAGAAAGTAGATATCATTAATATAGAAATAAAGTCAGCAATATTATTATTATAATTATTAAAAATGACCCAAATTGGTTTAAGTATCGTATAATCTCCAACAACAAACAAGTAGAGAATAAAAAAATATCCTTTTAGAATTTGTAAATCGCAAATTAAATAACGAACTGGAATCGAATCGAGTTTCCGATGCAATTCCGTGAATCTCTGAAACCAGGGTTTCATCAATGAACACAGGTGTATGCTGCACTTTCACGTCATAGCAATATATACCAATATTTTATAATACGTTTTTATTGATTAACAGAGAAGGAAGGAAGAGAAACAGGCAGCATTCTGAACCATGAGTAACTTGATCAATAAATTGATTAATAAACAAGGAAGGAAGAGGGAACATTCGTAGGAATTACTATATCTAGGTATAATTAAAAATATGTGCTATAGACATCGATTTCCATGAAAGTGTTGCACCAGGATATCATAAATTAACAGAGATATTAATTGCACTATCTACGAGTACACCTTTGCAGAACAGCTGTGTACTCTCATCACGTGTAGTGTAGTATGGAATCCCATCACGTATTGTCAACTATCAGAGAAGTTTGAGTTCTATAATAATTATCACCTCTTTCATAATCTGGCAATAAGTTTTCTGAAAAGTCTGTTACTATCTATTTGATGAATTTATTAGTTCTTACATAAATAAATAAATATTATAATCGTGTATGTAGCATGGAATCGCATCGCATGATGGGAGAAGACAATAAAGTAATATTAGTGGAACTATTGTGTTCATAATATTAGTACAATAGTTAAAATTGGATCAGGTACTTAACTTGTGATGTTTAAACATTACAATACCGCCTTTTTGGTAGCGGATTCGATTCTTCCCATTACACAAACAAGTAGATGAGAAAAAATGTATTTAGAAAATAAAGTATCTACATATGTTTAAAAATTACCTAACAAGGACAACACAAGCATTTGCAACTTGACAAATATAAAAATAAAATTGTGTTTTCGCAGATATCCAAAACTATTTCATCATATTTATCCCTTTTTGCAAAATTCTTCATAGATGCTTCATTCCTATTGGTTGTAGCATGAAGTTGAACTACTTAGATTTATGACGGAGAATGAAAAGAAAAGTTGTTCCTCTTTTATATGTGATT